TATTGGTGCGAACCAGGAGGAGCAGAAGGGGAGGTCAGGGGAGGACTATTTGGAAAGGGATGGGTTGTCAGATCGGTTTCTTTGCTCAAAGATCCCGAGAGCAACGATTGAGATTCTCCTCCATCTGGACCATGATGGTCAAGCAATAGAGATTCCCGTCCTTCATCCTCTTTCATTGCTGATTTTGAAGCTCATGGTAACCTCAATTTTTTATGAACGGATCGTCTGTTTGGGGCCAGGTAATCACAAAGATTCACACGTGATGACGCTTATCGATAAGCAGGCAAAAAGAAGACTACAGCCAATCACATCTACAAGTTATACTTCCATGTCTCAGTGCTGATCTGCTAACATTTGGGCCATATTGGATCTACATTTTTTCCAATATTGGACAGACCTAGGTTGAATGGAATAGTAAGCATGCACATAACGTTCCTTTTTATGATGGTGATCAAAACATGTGCTGTTCTGAATGTAAAGGAAATTCCTAATAATCAGTGTTACAGCCTACTGGGAGGATTATATCATAGTATAGTTGCAGTAGTATGTTTATTGAATGCAGTAGATAGCAGTAAATCAAAGCGATGAGTTGCCCTGATAAATATATAACGAATGCACCTGACCATGACCGCTGCTGTATGTCTTCCCCTTTGATAAGGTAATACAGCCGCCCCTGCCTGAAGAAGGGTAAGGTAAGGTACGCAGAAGGCCTGCCAATCCAGTTCTTCTCTAACAGCTACGAGAATCATCAATCGCTGCTGAAAGCATCGAATCATTATTTACCATGGCCCTGGTCATTGACCTAGGACAAGATACAATTCATCTCTCCCACTCCGACTCAGATTTGTCCCTGATGCTACGTGCGTCGTTGGACATATCTCTTGCAGGAAACCTAGATCCTGGGCACCCTAAGGATCTCGGTAAGCTGATAAATTCTGGATTGATATGGATAGCCCAATCACCAGAAATTAAAATGCATGTCATCGCTACTGCCAGAGCTCATTCCCCTGAGTCAGTTCCATCTTTTATCTCTCACGCAGGAGATATAATTCGCAAGTCGAAAGTACGTTATCACGGACAAGGAGCCACTTACACAGGGCTGTGATCGGTCCATTTATTAACACACTCCCTGCAGCTCTGGTCAGATTTGGATCTCGCTGTCCTGCTCAGAAGCTGCGACCGGTTACCCGGGTCGGACAATTCAACGACCATTAAGCTTTCCTTTGGATTGCGAAGAAAGACTGGACGGCCGTCAAATAGAATCTTCCGAGTACCAATATCAGCGCAACACGACGGGGATGCTGCTGCTCCTGCAAATATTCACACAGCATACTTGTCTACGATAAACGTGTTCCTTGAAGTCCATGATTCAAACCAAGCCAGACAGGAATACTTCCCATTAGCGCCGAAACTGCCGACCCCAATACCTTCCGAAACGTTTATAGTCAAGCGCAAGCAATGGGGTATAGTAACGACTCTCCCAAGTCTTTCTATGATGGAGACAGACTGCGTAGACGAGTTCATGCACAGCAGCACACGGTTGTTCTTGGAGGAGCTTGAGGATATGAAAGATGACTACCGAATGGAGGAAGACCGCGATAGTCAGACTTACCACGAGCTCGATCAACTGCTCAGGAAAGGCCTTCGATCGCTCATAGTCGAAAAGTGTGATACACACACTCCGAGCTCAGATAGGGATCTCCAACCACTGGCAAAGATCGTGCCTTCGGTGTTCAGCTTAGGCTACCGTGAGGTACTATTCCGGATTCGCTTTCATCAAGAAGGGCGCATACATCTGACACACAGTTCCCCATTCACAGGCCATGAACCAGCGATCCCACTTGATTCCGTCCATCGCGAAGTCCCTCGCTTCACTTCTGAAGACGACGAGAGATCCGACTTTGCAAAGCAGAATCAACGGCCTTCAAGCTTTGCATAATCCTCGAACAGAAGTGTCTCAAGCAACAGGGCAGACCGACTTTAGAGCGGCAATACAGACTGCCCTCTGGAAGATTGCCCAGAAGCAACTATATGATTCCCGGGCTTCGCGGAAATTGAAGGCATTAGATGTCGTGACCACTTCCGCCGATCATTACAGAGAAGCCGAAGAGGATCTTTTGTTGGAGGTAGGCATGGACGACTTTCACGATGACCTGAACAGTGAAAATCGCGAGATATACAATTCCGACTGTTATTTGGGAAGCAATTTCGAAGATCCCGAGTTCATAGACGAAGACGAAACGAACTCCGTGTTATCTTTTGATGGAAATTATTCACACCATTCACTTGATATGCTGGGACATGACGATACCGAACTTGATCGAATTTGGGGAGACCAGACGATACTTGACCATACCCAGAACAGAACCACAATATCTGTGCTCAATCTGACGGAGGAGCAACTCTCGTGCCACCTTTCCATAAGTGATGGTGAGATGCTAGCATCTGACTGCTTTGAAGATGAGCCTACGAGCCCAGAACTTCTTCCCTATAGCCCTAGCTTTTCGGGGACCCGTGAGACTTCCGATGGTGACTTTGATTTGATGCTGTGTGACCACAATTGTGTCATATAATTTGTACAATAGGCCGTCGAGCTGCGGGATGTCTATCCGCATAGATGACCTTCTACAGTATATACATTATTAACTACATAGAGTACCGAAAAATGACGTTTTTCAAATAGGCCCGATAGGCTGCGGTCTCAATCAAAGGTATCCCAACTCTAGCCAAAGAGATGTGTACTCAGTGTGTTCTATTAAGATAATAAGACAAGATAGCAGTGCAGCCATCAATTATCCATCAATTCTCAGACAAAGTAAGACAAAACTGCATCCTAATTCATAACGTCAGCCCGAAATACCGTCCATTCGCAACACCATATACCAAACACGCCACTGGTAGCATCAGTCAACAAAGTGTAGGGTATCTGACAGAGAGACCACGGTCTATTATAAGTCAACATGCGCCGTCCCCATGCACCTTACCCCCCCGTACTCCATGCAGTCAAATTTTTCGAGATTGGTAAGGTCGTACTGGTCGAAGACATCCAGTCCTTCATCAGATAGTGTGATAGTCATGCAAAGTGCGCCATATTCATTACATATTGTCGGACTTGTGAAACACACTGGCAGAAGAATGTCTACTGCCTCTCGGGGTGTTTTCGTCCTCGACTATTTCTTCGCGAAGCGGATTGAGCATTACGCCGGCAGGCCATGAGCTTGCACCAGAAGAAACAGCGAGGGGTCTGAGTCTGGTGTCATCGAAAAGTTCAATGAATCGTTCGTCGAGGGGCCTCGATTTCGGCCACGAAAATCTAATGTATTCCTTACGAATAGCTAGCATGTCCCAGCCTTGAACCTTCCGAAAGCAGCCGACAACGCATCCAGTCCGATGCTATCAATTACAGTTAGTCATGTCGAATCCGTATTATCGACCTCTGCGCTCACCTTTCCCTTGTTGCAGTGTAGAAGGAGTGGGTGATTTGCCTTGTTCAGTACGATTTCCAGGACTCGATTCACAACATGATCCGGAGTTCGAACCGTGGGGTCCTTGTTTGCCAGGATAAGAATGCGACGATGCTCTATACCGTTTTCTTTGAGAAAGACCTGGTGGTCCTGAGTGTATTCCCCTTCGACTAACGTACTACGCGGACAAGCGTAAGCAAGGGGTAATGATCTTATATGGCGGCAACTTACACAATCATTCTGAGTCCCAGCTTCTTTAGTGCTTGGAAATGCCAAAGTTGCGGAAAAGAGCTTCTATAGACCCCTTTGACAACCTCTCCGAAATTTGGAGGCAACTTTTCAGTGTGGATGACCTCGGATTCCAACGATGTTTCCCTAAGACGAGACCATTCACCTGCTCGACGCGGTCTAATCAGCAAACATTTCGCTGTAAACGTCAATATACAAAGCGAAGGATACTCACCCGCTTTACCGCTGAGGGAGCTATTGGAAGACTTCTCACTAAGCGGCGTAGCCATTGTAATGTTTTCTTTTGAGACAGATGAGATTCACTGCAGCCTTGACGCGTTTCGGTGGTCTCAACGCTCCCTTGATAGAAGGGAACTCTTCAGCGCCTGTGATATGCTTCGAGACAGGCGGATACAGAAACAGCAGGCTTTGGGACGTGTTTATCGACCCAGAAATCTGGATAGAGCAGGTTCCAAGACGGATTCTAAGAGTGTCTTGAGAAGGGACGTCAACTCTATGGAAGAGTCCAAGGATGGAAAGTCGATTGCTCGATGAACCGGTGTTCAGTCAAACAAAAGAGCTTGGAGAGAGGCCATGATGGAGGTATTCGAGAGTGTCAAGAGACAGGACGGATAAGCGAGGAAGAGAATAGATCAGTGAGTAGGTTATCTTCGTTATCTTGTCAATAGCAACGACAAAGACTGTGAGACATAGACTGTTGAAGTAGTATGGGCGGTGAGCTATTGGAGGAGGATATCAACAGAGTGAATGGCACAGATTGACAAAAACCGCGCTAGCACGAGCTTGACCTGAGATATCCTTCATGAAACAGACCTAGATTGCAGCCTAGGAAACACAATCTGGCTGAAGGCGTTCAGCAATTGCAAGTGAAAAACGTAGCTACCAACGCTTGTCATGGCATATTGCTTCAACAAAGATGACCTCATATTGGATCTGTTATAGTCCAGACTCAGAATATCATGGCAGGAGCAAACAGTCACAGTTGAAGTCGCTTCTCTGCTGAGTCACTTTCGTGGTGATTGAAAAATGGACTGCGTTCTTCGTCAGACGGTGCCAACTTTGTAAATCGACGCCTGAAACATTCGAATAAGAAGAGGTTCGGTCAATTCGAATCAGACAGCTTGGCCGTGAACATTATGGAAAGCAAAGTTCATTGACACGCTGCAAGCATTTCTATCTATCGGAGTCAAAGTTGGGTATGGACAGAATGACTGGGCTTAACAAATCCTAAGCAACTGTTTCCCTCCCCTTCCGGTGAGCAGCTTCAAAGAATGGAGAGCGAAGGAGTTATGACACTTCCTCTCCGAGTCCGAACATTCTTACCGAATTATTCCAAGCCCTAAGTATGAAGGAGTCAGCTTCTTAGTGGCCGAAAGTCTCAATCCAAACAACTTACGCCTCGCAAACCTCCTCCACAGTAATATCTTTTAGTTTAGCGATGACATGGGCGACATGGGCTATCGCAACGGGTTCATTGCGGCCCTTGACCATGAGGCCTTTCTGCCATTTCTCCTTCTTGACTGCCTTGGGCAATGCGGGAGCACCCTCCAGGTACTTAGAAGATGCGTGAGAGGGCCGGATCTCGCACTAAAGGATACCACGTCAGTCAGAGAGGGAAGTATATAAGGATGTTGCAAGGGCGATGAAAACTCCATACCCATGGACCATCTGTCTCTATCTGGATTCGATCAAGTGGGATAGCTTTCACCACCTCCAGATTCTCCTCCGTCTTCAGGCTGCATCCGTTGACACCGACGTCCAAACCCAGTGCCACCATCCGTTCCATCTCCTCCATCGTCCCTGTAAAACTGTGCACCAAGCCTTTCTTGGGAAGTTTCTCCAGTCTGGGAGCTAGCAACTTCTCAAAATCCTCACTGGCGGCTCTGGAATGAAGGAAGAGCGGGAGCTGTATTTCCACCGCAAGATCCAGTTGAGCTTCGAAATATTTCAGCTGAGGCTCTTTGGCGCTGAGGAACAGTCGGTCATAATCTAGACCGATTTCACCGAATGCAACAGCATGCCCGGCTTCTTTTGCTTCCAGCGCCAGAGACTTCAGCTCCTCCAGCATCTTATCTGGACCGCCAGAGAATTCATCGAAGTGTTTTGCTTGACACGGATGAACACCAACAGTTGCGTAACAGAAACCGGCTGGCAGCCGACCTTGTTAGGCTTGACAACACAAAGAAACAATAGTTGAGAAGTTGGGTGCAACTTACGGTAACGTTGAGCAATCTGAATAGCATGCCGAGATTCTACTAGGTCTGAACCAGTCACCATGAACTTCGTGCACCCCACATCGCGGGCACGCTGAATGATATCGTCAAGGTCATTCTCATGAACCTGTCTGCCGTGATATTCTCCTCGAAATACAGGGTCACCAAGGTTGATTCCAATCTAGAAGTAGTCAATTTTAGCAACAGCTATTGCAGATATGCGATGCTTGTAAAGAGACACTTACATCAACATATCTTAAGGGCTTGTTAGAATCACACATCTTGACTTTGGCTGGTATTTTATTCAAAACTGCAGACCAGTAATTTCTTTTGCTGTTCAAGAGAGAATAAGAGGATGTACGTCCCGGTTTCAACAGGCTACTCCCTGTGGCTGCATTTGTCGTGAGCCAAAATGCAATACTACCGTTTCCAATCCATTTGATTGAGCAGAGGAGCATGCCTTCCGCTGTGGGATTGAATTTAACCGTCTAAACATACCTGTGCAATTTTCAGGGCAACTGAGAGGCAGTTGCGAGTGTAGATCGAGGGACTTTTTTCTGATCCTGAATCCTACGCAACCGAGGAAAGAGGTACAATTACTATTCCCGCAAGCCTTCAGAATATTGCCTACGCTGTGAGTCACCCGCATCAGACAATGAGTCACTTCGTTCAAGATGTACGAAGTCACTCCGAGCACTCTCGGTGGGCAATATTGATTTCCTGGGAAGCAAGTAGATATCACGTATCATGTGCCGGGATACATGATGCTAGTTTTGTCCAAATTGTTTCCAGTAGTGCTTAGCCACAGAGCATATGTGCCCCTGTGTGGCTGAAGAAAATGCACGTGGTGGATTACATAAGCACCCCTCGGACCGAAACCCGAATCGAATGGTTCCATCGGTGAGGCCCCCGATGCTTTCGACCGAGAAGTGGCAGTTCGGAGCGAGAGAGGAGCAAGGTGTCTGCAACAACTGAAGTGTATGTTCTGCTTAATGAATAGAGGCAACTGGGGTAGAGATAGGTAAAGTTGGTTGCTTCTTTCGTATCCATCTCTGCTGAGTTACCGGACATACATTATTGGAAGCAAATGTCAACCCCTTTGTTGTGATTACTTGAAGCATTAAGAATCGTTGATGAGAACAAACAGAGCACTTTCAGTACTCTGTATTCTGATCCCGAATTTACTAAGACAACTTTGATAGTTTGATTCGTGGACCAGTCAGCCCTTCACTAATTGTTTATCCTTTCCATCACTTCGGTATTTGTGAACCCGTAAACGCGGCACTGGGCCGCTGCGGAGCAAAATTCAACAATCAACGCCTATGCTTCTCCGCACTGCGATTAGACCCTTGTGGAGAGCTCTCCGAAGTGCAATGCTGCTACAGTCTATATAACCAACAGGGCCTCTCGCTATTCGTTTCAGGCTTCTCTCCTGCAGTTGCTCGAGTATAATAACTTGTGGCTTGGAGTTGTTGAAAGATTTGTCCTACAAAACCACAGATCTGTGCAAATTTCAGGAAAGTAAAAATGGCTAGCGAGAAGCTTCTATCCACTAAAGAGGTGTCGAAACACAAAACGCCTGATGATTGTTGGATCGTTGTTGATAATAAAGTATGGGACGTAACTGATTTTGTGGAGGAACACCCTGGAGGATCTACAAGTAAGATCTACCGTTTATGCTGGGCACTGAACTCAAAAAGCTCACGTTTGTCAGTCATCCTGAGATATGCAGGCCGTGATGCCACTAAGGCCTACTCAGAGGTTCACTCTCCTGGCGTCATCAAATCAAATCTACCGCCAGAGAAGTACAAGGGGACCCTCGACACGTCCGCAGTCGATGAAGAATGGCTCAAACAGCCTCCCAGCGAGAATCCACAGGTCGTCCTGGATAACGAAAAGCCGCCCTTACACACCCTGATCAACTCACATGATTTCGAACTCGTCGCGTCCAAGACAGCAAACAAAAAGACGTGGGCATTTTATTCCAGTGCCGCGACCGATCTCATCACTCGGGATGCGAACAAATCTTGCTTCGACAGGATATGGTTCCGACCTCGCGTCCTCAGGAACGTTCGCTCTGTTGATTCAAGAACAAGGATTCTCGGCGTCGATTGTAGCATTCCATTGTTCGTAAGCCCGGCTGCTATGGCTAAGCTTATCCATCCGGATGGGGAGTGTGCGATTGCCAGGGCATGCGAGCGCAAAGGTATCATGCAAGGAGTACGTCATAATCTTATATTCCCATTCCATCCCATTGCACCTGGTTAAGCTCTAGTGCTCATTATTGGGCAGGTTTCAAATAATTCTTCGTACACTCTGGATCAACTGAAAGAAGCCGCTCCTTCAGCAAATTTCTTCTTCCAGCTGTACGTCAATCGAGATAGAGAGAAGTCCGTAGCGCTTCTTCAGCAGTGCTCGGCCAATCCGAACGTGAAGGCAATCTTTGTGACAGTCGATGCTGCATGGCCGGGCAAGCGGGAGGCGGATGAGCGAGTCAAAGCCGATGAAAATTTATCTGTCCCCATGGCACCGTCCCGAGCGAAGAACGACAAGAAGGGCGGTGGCCTTGGACGTGTTATGGCAGGCTTCATTGACCCTGGACTGACATGGGATGACTTGGTGTGGGTGCGGAAGCATACGCATCTACCCGTGTGTCTGAAGGGAGTGATGTCTGCGGATGACGCCATCTTGGCGATGCAAGCTGGGTTAGATGGCATTCTTCTCAGCAATCACGGTGGTCGCAATCTTGACACAAGCCCTCCCTCGATAGTCACTCTACTGGAGCTCCATAAGCGCTGTCCAGAGATCTTCGACAAGATGGAAATATATGTGGACAGCGGAATCCGTCGCGGAACAGACGTACTCAAAGCCATCTGCCTAGGTGCCACCGCTGTTGGCATGGGGCGCAGCATGCTCTTTGCTACGAATTACGGGCAGGAAGGAGTCGAACATCTGATAGACAGTAGGTGATGGCCCCGCACGTCAAGGCCCGATGAGCTAACCAGTCATTGCAGTTATGAAAGATGAGCTGGAGACGGCGATGCGGAACAATGGGATTACGACACTTGATGAAGCTGGTCCACATCTGGTCCACACGGGCGATATTGATCATCTAGTTCCTGACTCTCGGTCTCATCCATATGCCCGAGCGGTTGCAAAAGGTCGGCGTTCCAGGGAAGTCGCCAAGCTGTAGACCTGATGAGATAGGGATCCAGTATGGTAATTTCCTTCACCGCTATGCACTCGGATTCTATGATACAGTAATACACTGGAGCAGTCAGCCATTATGATAGAAATACAAATTTGTTATTGGACATCGCTCAAGTATCATGTTCCGATTGCTGACCCGGACCTTGCTTGGTATTTTATACAGCCCCCTCATCGAGAGAATGACTCAGGAAGACGGATAAAGCAGGATACATAATATTATAGACATAGTTGTTGTTCTGCTGCGATTTGTAGCCAGTAGTCTGGCTTGTGATTCGTACTTATTATAAGTCTGCATCAGGGATATGCCGCATATATGGGTATATGTTGGTCGTCACCACTGTGATACAGAAATCCAGTAAGGACTCAAACAATACCTACAATAGCAACAGTATATTGAGGGCTCATCAACCTATTGAGGTCTCATATTGCTTTCCAGATGTGACAGGTCAGAGAAAAAAAAGACGGAAAAAGGACAAAAAAATGGTCACTACGAGGGTCGAACTCGCGACCTTGGCGTTATTAGCACCACGCTCTAACCAACTGAGCTAAGCGACCAGTTCTTGAAGAACATTAATCTTTAATGATACGTCAGCCACAAAGAACACTTGTCCTATCGCCCGGCTTAACCCAAAGTGGAAGATGCCAGAGCACCATTAGGTCAATATATCTCCATATTGCCAATATATACAGTACCTGTCATCTACCAAGACCTATAGCTCCAACGACATAGCCATGCAGAGACCACTTATTACAAAACATACGTACTTGACCTTTAGAGACCTCGGTGAGCCGAGAATATAAACCTGGCGACTCTTTATATTGGCAACGGTATACAGTTAGCGTGTCTATTCAAACGGGAGAATGCAGTCTCAATTCGCATTTTCGGTACCAAATGGGCAAAAATATACCTGCTAATCATACTCTCCTCGGTTATTCCATTGCTGGATGCTGTATGCTTCAATTCAAACCACAGAGACTAGGACTCCGAGAGGCATCAAAATCACCGAGAACAATTAAGTCCGCTAGTTACGGAGAGCAATAACATGCTACAGAAGCATAGAACAACCTTGGAGGTGAGTCAGTTCCCAGACATTCATACACTGTGTCTAATACTCTGGTTCTCACTGATCTCTGAGGTCTAAGAAATCAATTGCGATCACAGACTAGTCGTCCTGGACTGTCTCCTTCTGTATCCAATAAAGGAGCACTCGGGTTGCCATTTGGCACAATCAACAGTTCGCTGATCAACAATGGAAGCTTTCAACAATGCGTGCAACTGCAACGCCACCGTGGTGGATAACAGTGGATGGCGTTAATCAGGTCTGCCCATGCATATATGGAAGTAGGTATGCAGCCCCTGTCTTTCCTGCCTTGTGACACACATCTATCAAAGAATGCCTCGAACAATCCATAGTATTCGGTTCGACCAAGGAACGCGAGGTATTTGACCAGTAGATTTGTAGAAGAGGAGTTGATTATAACATAGAGAGAAGTAAACTATAAGGGTCCCATAAGAAAAAGAGCCAGTAAATATCCGATAAATTAGACTGGTTAATATTTCTGTATCTGTATCTCATCCTTTCTAACTCCCAGCAGCGAAGCTTGGCAGAGTACTATTACGCCAAGCCTCATCAAGACGCCCATTCGAAATAGCAGCGCTAGACCAGTTCCAGGAATTCGCTGGGACCCGACTTTTGAGAGGTGAAGATAGGCTCTCTGAAGATAAGTTCCTAATAATGACCACATGACCATTCAACATTTTTGTTAATCTTACCTAGGTTCCGTCTGCCTACCATGGGAATATTCCATTGTAATCCATTTCCAGACGAAACTGAGTTATTACATTGTAGAAGTCCTAAAGGTGTACACCTCCCAGGTGCAAAAGTACTACCGCTGCCATCTGTATTTGCTGCAGTCTAGTGGCGCACATTTGCTGGCGTATGCAAACGACTGACTGTCAAGGCAAGCTGGCGCGTCCCTAGAAGGGATCCGCATTCGATCAACTTGGGGTGGGTTATGTTTAGCAGGGTCTGACGAGAGCGGCGATGGCATGGACAATCATACAATTAAC